CAACGACTCCGCGGAAGCAGAGACCTTCGCCTCGACTTTAGAAGCCGAGTGATTAGTATTGGGGTTCCCTAAGGAAAAATTAGTTTTTCCAGTATAATGCTGTACACAAAGCTACCATAAGTATTGGGGTGAAGAAGCCGAGTCATTTCCTGGATCCTAAAGGACCTACCTGCTCTGGGGTTCCCGGTTATGATTTATTTCTATCAGTCCTTTAAAAGGTAGGTTATTTGGGGTTAAGGTTGAGGTTCCTCAGGAAATTAGTTTGTCCAGTAGAACTTACACCAAAATACTACCGTTTGTGGAGTTCCTGATGGTAGTTGTAGTATAATGTACACCAAAGCCCCATCCTGCTCTTGTGAGGCCTCTATATTGCAGTGTCAAAGTGGTAGGGTTCCCTGGTACATATAAACCCTAAACCCTAAACCCTAAACCCTAAACCCTAAACCCTAAACCCTAAACCCTAAACCCATAGTCTTAAGACCTCCGAGAACCCTGGTCTGTTTGAAAGCCTAGTCAATTTTTCTTTTGGCTTTTCGGACACTGCAATGTTTGCGCGTTTTCAGAGTCTGCTTTTAGGGGCTCGGCTCAGTGCTCAGGATGTAGATCTGACGTTTGAGTGTGAGAGTAACTATGCTTCATTTTGCGGCTTAACGCCCCAAACCCGGTCGCCCCACATGACATGCACAAGTCTGAGACAGTCTGAGGTCCTCAAGCCCCAAGCCCCACATGAACTTATTTCGTCAAGATTCGTCCACCGACAGTAAGCTTCTAACCTTTTCATTTCGGGGTCCTCCATTTTAGAGGGGAAAAGTACGAGCGGCGCAGGTCTATCATTATTGTGTGCTGGCTTCACATCGGTCTTGGTACGAGTTTGCATGATGATGTGTACCTTAACCCCAAATAACCTATCTTTTTAAGGACTTCTATGAAGAAGTCATATTAGGGAGCCCTAAAAAGGTAGGCTCTTTAGGGTCCAGGTAATGCTTCGAAGCGAGCACGGGAGGCTTTCGGATTCAGCTCTCTGTAACTTAATTGGGGTTATAAGTTATAAGTAACTATAAGTATAGTTACCTTGTTGATAACCCCAGTTACTAAGTCCCATGATTCTTTAAGCAGCTTGGGAAAGTTGAGTTGTTCGTGGCCACATGGAGCTTTTGCGACTTTTCCAACCTTGCATGTTGAACATTGCGAAAGTCCCTTTTCATCTAACTCTCGGCCCCCAACTTCCCAACCAAACCTGAAGCAGAAGCTCTCCGTTTCATTCAGTTTAAAAATCTGGGGTTTCTTTGCGAGGCCCGCACGAGGATCACGGGTGCCGCGCTGCCCCCGTTGCGGCTGGGCGGTCGCTCGTGACCAGGTGGGCTGGGGTTTTGCTGGGGCTCGTTCAGTTAAATTCGGCTTTTTCGGATTTCTTTTCTTGGGCCTCCGTATGCATATACCCAGAGAAAGGAATATTCCTTAAATTATGGTAGGATCCCTAATCTGATTTAAGGTATATTCCTTAATTAAAGGATATTGGAGTCTCTAGGTAGAAATTTTGGGTAAGTATCAGGGTTGGAAGTTTTTGGGTTTTGTTTTCTTCTTGTCAAGCTTGTTAGGGTTGTCCGGGTATAGGACTTGGGGATTTAGGGTTTAAACGCTTTGTGTGTTGGGTTTTGGGCCCGTGCCACTTTTCTGTTTAGGGCTTTAGGTCTGACTGGCTGAAGATGTTCTTGCCTTGCCCATACCCTCAAATCCTGAGCTTTCTTCCAGGATGTGCAGTCGGCACTACGGTTTCTGCATCGAGATTTGCAGATCTCCGTCGAAGATCAGGTCAGCGTTGGGTTGAGGGTTTGCAGGATTTGAGGTTGAGGGCTATGGCTACAGTTTCAGCATGTTTCAGTGTGTTTAGGGTTTTTTGGGGTTTGGGGTCTTTTTGGGGGTTTCAGGTCGAGGCAGTAGCAATTTTTGCTCCTTCAGGGGTTTAAGGCTTAGGGTTTTTCGGGTTTAGGCTTTGGGGTTTAGGCCCACTGCCAGAAGTACGGCATGCCGCCAGTACGCAAGTGCCAAAGCGCGCGGCTCTGTGCGAGTCGGCAAGGCGATATCTATTTGCAGCAGTGGTCGCACTGTTGATGATATAAATCCTGCATTACCTTAAGGACCCTAAACTACGGGAATAATGGCATATTCGTTATTATGGGTAATGCAGGATGTATTTTATCAACCGCAGCACAAGTAGAAGTGTCAATTCAACACCAAAACTCAAAACCCTCAACCCGAAACCCAACAGAGGCATGGGGTGGTTCGCAGCAGTGGTATTCCTGTCTGTCCCCATGCACACATAACCAGAACACTATGAGAACCTGAGCAGTTCTGGGAGCGGTGTGCGTTGAAGAAGTTTTTGTCCTGGTCATCGTTGTTTTAGTAGTAGCCATATGGGAGTTTCCGTTAATTAGGGGTACCTCAATTTGGGGCCTTATAATACGGATCCTACTATTTAGGAGGGTTTAGGGAAGCAGCAGGAAGAGCAACAACGGCCGCAGCAGTAGCAGCTCCAAAGCCTGCCAAGCTTCGCTTCAGAGGCGGCTGGCGACCCAAAACCCTATTCTAATTATGGGTTTAGGGTTTAGGGTTTAGGGTTTAGGCCCCCTATATCACAGACCCCTCCTACTTAGAAGATCTTGGGACTTAGTAGGTAGGTTATAATCGGGGTTATAAGTCCTCGAAGTGGCGTCATCCTTATTATTATTATAGCCTACTGATAGCCTTACTTCCTAAGTCCCATGAGCCTTTAAGTATAGATCCCTTATAGGACCCCTTTTAAAGGAGCCCTACTCTCATTACGAAGGCTGGCGACAGGGAGTTGCATTTCATCGAGGACACGGCCGCCTGTGCGGGGGAGATCGACGCTCGCCTCTTCAAGCAGCCCACCTTAGGTTTCGAGCTGGGCGTAATATTCGGGGGCCTCAAAAGGTAGGACAAAGGCAGGTGGGATATTCTCAAATAAGAGTCCGTATATAAGGGATCCTTAATCCCACCTACCTTCATCCCACCTTGTGAGGCCTCCGAAATATGGGGGTCATTGAGTTTCCGAAAATTATGGGTTACCTAAGGGTTCCTTTAAAGGGTTACTATAAGGGTTCCTTGAAAGGGCTCTATAAGGGTTTAGAGTTTCCGAAAACAATGGGTACCTTATTTTGGGGTCCTTATAATAAGGTTCCTACTATATAGGGTACTATATTAGGGTCCCCTATTTTTTGGGAAACTCCCATACAGGGGTCATAAGCATTGGGCTAGAGTCCATAGGTCCAGTGAAGCAAAACTATATGAAGGAACTTTAGGGAATAGTATTGTCGATATCCAGGGCCACAACTTTAAGCATGAGGTGTATCAAGTCCTCGTTTCGAGCAAACTTTCCAGCCCAAATTAAGGAAGCCGATGGTAGAGTTGTTTCCACGTCCCATGTTTGTTTTGAATTTCATCTGGCTGGGTCCACGGCTTAAAGCTTCCCCTTCTGTGTTCCGAGCTTCAGCACAGACGCACCAGCAAACCCTAAGCCCAAAGTTTCAAGCCTGAACCACAGACTTTCTCAAGCCTCTGTAACAGCTTTTCCTTGGGGTCAAGGGCTTTAGGGTTTCAGGGTTCAGGGCCTCAAGTTTCGGGTTTGGTAGAAATTACTGTAGGTAAACCCTTACCAAAGCCCCTGCAAACCCGCACATGAGCCTTGTCAGAGCAATTCTTTCCTGAACCTTGCATCCGGGAACAGCCCAGGCACCTAATGTCCACGTTAGGGTTTAGGGCTTAAGGCATAGGGTTTCAGGGTAAGCACCTACAAACTAAACAACAACTGTAAGTTTGGTCCTCCAAGGGACCATTGCTGCCAGTGTAAGCTTCGCAAAACCCGAGCAAATCATCCGGAAAGAAACTCTGCTAATAGAAGAACTACAGAGTGACTCTAGAGCCCTTGCAAAACACCAACTTCAAAACCTTGTAAAACCCACGTAAAACCATCGGAACCCTTCACAAAGCCCCGAAAGAAGCCGCATGAAACACTCTAAAACCTCCAGGAAGCCCTTACCCTAAACCCTAAACCCTTACTTAAAGGCTCATGGGACTTAGTAAGTAAGTTTATAAGTAGGTTATAATTAGGATAACCCCACTTAGGGGACTTATAACCCCAATTATAACCTGGTTACCAAGTCCGTTGGTCCTCTGAGTAACTCTAAGCCCTCAACTCTTTCCAGCCCAGGACCTGCGCGCCCGCGAGTTCTTCGAGCTTTGGGATTCCGGGGGCCTCGCAGTGCCCTGGCTTTGCTTTCTTGGGGGGCGTTCTATCTGGGAAGGAGGGGTTTAGGGTTTAGGGTTTCGGGTTGGTTTCCAAGGTTGTAGGGTGTTTCTACGGCTTTATGAGGTTTGGTGGGATTCCTTTCAAAGATTTATGAGGTTTTTCAAGGGTTCTGCAAGGGGTGCTATGAGGGCTTTACCAGGGATGTTAGCGTAGATGATCAAATCCGCGTTCTGTCGCAATTGAAAGAAGCTCTGTAACAATTTACAGTTCATGTTTTCAGCGTTTAAGGCTTCAGACAGCACACAGTTCAAGGGTTTCGAGTTCATGCAGGGGTTTATCACTCCTAAGGGTTGCCGGAGAAATAGCTCACAGTAACCCAGCAGGCAGTGAAGCCGCGAGATTCGACGTAGAAACCTCGGCTCGACTGTTGCCACGAGGCTTCGGAACCCTAAACGCCAAACCCTACCTTAACCCCAATTAACCTACCTTTTTAAGGACTTGTATAAAGAAATCATGTTAGGGAAGCCTAAAAAGGTAGGTTTCTTTGGGTTCAGGTAGGCCCTAAACCTGCAAAAACCTCAAAGTTCTGCCGCAGCATGCCTCATCAAGACTGACTCCTCCCCGAAGTTTCAGGCTTCCATCCTCTAAATGCCCTGAAAAAATCTGCCGCAGCATGCCTCATCAAGACTGACTCACTCGTCCCACCGTCGCCTCGCGCCCTTCTCGAAGCCAAATGTCGGCCGTCAACAGCCAGATCTGCCCCTTGCACCCCCAAGTCCTTTGAAGGATCTTGTAGGGTTTACCTGTAGCCGATTTGAAAAGACCCACCTTTTTAGGGTTCCTTATTATGGTTTCTATATAGGTAGGATCTAGGGCGGGTTTAGGGATCTATAAGGGTTCTGTAAGGCGGGAGTTTAGGGTACTCAGAGGACCAACCGACTTGGTAACCAGGTTATAATTGGGGTTATAAGTCCCTTAAGTGGGGCTATCCTATTTATAACCTACTTGTAACCTTAGTTGCTAAGTCCAATGAGCCTTTAAGTAGTCCATGTTATAAAAACCTTAAGTGTTTCACAAGCTTGTTCAGGGCCTTGTAAGGTTTTTCTGGCCCACCGAGTCCTGGTCTATCAGGGTTGTTATAATTATTTGCCTTCACAAAAGCTTTGAAAGGCTTTAAAAGGGTTTTGCAAGATTTGTTTTCGGGTTCGATAGGCTTGCAAAGTGCTTTTGAGGAGTACCCTTTCACCCTGTTCATTTCGGGGTCACCTTCTGAAAACGCATATAATGGTCGGGATGTCCCAATCATTCCACACCCTAATGCCGAGTCCCCAAACCCCAAAGCTTAAAAATCCCAAACCTACACCCAAAAGGTGTCCTTAGTACGGGAGAGGTGGGTGCTATCAAGCCAACAGCAATCACCAGAAAGCTCTGCGGAACACGCAAAGACCCGATATAGTCTTATGAAAGTCCTACAAAACCGTTAAAACCCCTTCCCACAAAGTCTTACAGAACCCTTTTCAAAAAGCCCCACAACACCGTTTACCATCCCTTGACCTTAAAGTAAAAGCCAGAAAGTTGGAATATGATTATCCTAAACCCTTTATGGTAAATTATAAGGTATCCTACCCTGAAACCATATTCCAACTTTCTGGAGTTCCCTTTAGAACCCCAGGCTCCCGGTGCAACGGTCAAGGCCACCCGGCCGCTCAGTGCCCGAAGATGCCGCTGCCTGGGTGACCCTTAGGAGAGATGTTTCGTTTCGTTGTAGAACTCACCCAAGGGGCTATTGACAGTTTTTTTGTTTCTGTTGCGGCTTTAGCCTCAGGTTCGGGATGTTCTCTCGCTTCACCGTAGAAATATCCCAAGGGGTTATTGAACGTTTTTTGTTTCTATTGTGGCTTTAGCCTGACAGAGGTGTAACTTAGATTCAGGATGAATTTTTAGGGCTCAGTATTTTGATTTTCGGGTTTAGTGAATGAATCTACGATTTTAAACGATATGTGTGCCCCAACCACCCAGGTTCTACAAAACTTGCGAGTATTGCAAGGTGGTCGGACACGGAGTGAAGGCCTGCCCCGTTTTGCAGCGCAAAGCCCTGGAGAAGATCAGCAAGCAGAAGGAGGCGGAGAAGAAAGCCGCCAGCGATGCTTGGAGCGAGTCTGGAACAAGTACCACGGCCTCGTCTTGGACTTCGCGGAAATCCGAGCGAGCGTGGTGGCAGCCGCGGGGCGGGGGAAAGAAGGGCAAGTCGCGGACGGCATGGTCAGAGTGGCATCCGGAGCACTGGGTGCTGAGTGAAGACGAGGAGCGGGAGGCCTGGCGCAGTTTAGAGCTTTGCTGGGCAATGATGATGAGGATAGGAATATGTGATGATGGTGATGAATAAGATGATGATAATGACAGACTACGATGAAGAGGGGGGGAGGACGACCACCGTGATTTTCACGTCAGTTGTAGATGCTCGTAAGCAACGGCGGCGCACAACTTCTGGCCTGTGCCCGGCATGACCGTAAATCCCAAACCCCCTTTGACTTGAACCCAGGTGAGTCGTGACGCGCTAAACCCCGGAACGCCCAACACGCAGGCTCGCAAGCTGGAGAAGAAGCTTCGCGAGATCGCCGCTCTCGAGCCTCAGCCGATGTTGAAGTTAGTTTAGAAGCCTTTACTACAGCACGAGGGTGCTTAGCGGTGAAGGTATTGGGGTTTAGCGGTTTAGGGATCGAAGGGTTTCAGGATTGGTATCTACACGGCTGTTGGGCGCGTTTGAAGTCGCTTTGCTTGTCCGACCGTCGAGAAAAACAGAATCTCCCAAACGTGCTGCTATTGGCTACCGTCGTGGGGGAGAGGAGGTATCTTCTCAACAAAATTAAAGAACAAGTGGTTTGAAGCCTTGAGCCCTGAACGTAACCCTTCTGAAGAGCCCAGGAGCAGTGGGTAGAGCAGGGGAAGCAGCTGGATTCACTTCAGCTGCAAAAGGTGCGCCGCTGACGGCCTTGTGGTTTAGGGTTGAACGGGTTCAGGAGTTCGGGTTTGACACGTAGGTTTTGGATCAAACGTCATAGTACGTTGGATGTAGTTGGCCTTTATATACTATATGTACCTCAAGTGGGATCATCCGAATTCTAAGCCTAAGCCCTGAACGCCAAACCCTGTCAAAGGCAGGGTCTGCAGGAGAAAAGGCCCACTGCATTTTAAAAAAAGAACGCCAAGCCCCTAGGTTGAAATGGAGGGTGGTTGGGGGTTCCACTGGCAGAGCATCCTTCAAAACATCCACGTATTCATGGGGTTGTTTCCTATGTTTTTAGATTTTCGTGAGACTCCGTGGTTCGTTTACAGCGCAACTTACAGAGGATCCATCTTCCTGTACATCGCCTCTCCCTGAGTCCCTTCGATGATCGTCAGGTGGATCGGAGGAGTGAGATCGAGTCTCATGAGGTGCTGCGCAAAGTGCGCCTTGGTTACCAGCGGATCGCTCTACCGGCTGCTCCCCAGTAACTCCCTTGCGCACTTGGGTGGGCGCATCGGAGGGCAATGTACAGTGTACAGCTTACCACCACAATTTTGCAGAATGCGTCATCATATCCTTAGTAACCGTACAGTGCTGCCTACGACGGTCTGGAGCGTTGCCTTGTGCGCAACTCTGTGAGCTAGCGGCAGCAAAGTCGAGTCTTTCCATCGCTATGCCTTCCACGCAAAGAGTTCAGAACCCGAAGTTATAGGCTTTAAGCCTTTGAAGGCCTGCAAGTTCTGCCGCAGCATGCCTCATCAAGACTGACTCGTCCCTCGTCGCCTCGCGCCCTTCTCAAAGCCAAATGTCGGCCGTCGACTGCCAGATCTGCCCCCTGGAACCGGAAGAGTAATGTCGACCCCTGAATAAGTACCGAATAAGTACCCACATGATTCCTTCGTGTTCTGTAATGTAGAAAGTTATGCCGTTAGTTAGCACCAGAACCCTGTTCTATGTAAGTAGGAACCCCCCTGGAGTATGTACTCTTTCACCTTGCTTGTTTTGGTTTCTCTTTCTAAGAGGAATCTAAACCCCAAACCTCAAAACCAACAGTTCAGAGCACCAAAACTTACTCCCCAAGACCTAAAGCCCCAAGACTACCCCTAAGCCAACCATGTCCTCAAGCACCCTGTGAAAATCCAGAAAAAGGCCAGAAAGCCCTTTAACACTTTATATAAGACCCCTGCCCAAGAACTTTCCAAAAGGGTTTAGATTCCCTCACGAGGGATGCCCCGAGAACGCGAGGCTCCCGGTGCCACGGTCAAGGCCACACGGCCGCTCAGTGCCCGAAGATGCCGCTGCCTGGGTGACCCTTAGGAGAGATGTTTCGTTTCGTTGTAGAACTCACCCAAGGGGCGATTGACAGTTTTTTTTTGTTTCTGTTGCGGCTTTAGCCTCAGGTTCGGGATGTTTCGGGGTTCAGGGTTCAGGGTCTAGAGGCGTGTAGACTTAGATTCGGGATGATTTTTAGGGCTCAGGATTTGGATTTTCGGGTTTAGTGAATGAATCTACGATTTTAAACGATATGTGTGCCCCAACCACCTAGGTTCTACAAAACTTGCGAGTATTGCAAGGTGGTCGGACACGGAGTGAAGGCCTGCCCCGTTTTGCAGCGCAAGGCCCTGGAGAAGGTCAGCAAGCAGAAGGAGGCGGAGAAGAAAGCCGCCAGCGATGCTTGGAGCGAGTCTGGAACAAGTACCACGGCCTCGTCTTGGACTTCGCGGAAATCCGAGCGAGGGGGAAGGAAGGGCAAGTCGCGGACGGCATGGTCAGAGTGGCATCCGGAGCACTGGGTGCTGAGTGAAGACGAGGAGCGGGAGGCCTGGCGCAGTTTAGAGCTTTGCTGGGCAATGATGATGCGGATAGGAATATGTGATGATGGTGATGAATAAGATGATGATAATGACTGCGACTGCGATGAAGAGGCGAAGAGGACGACCACTGTGATTTTCACATGCTTTACATTATGCTATGTTCTGCACTCCACCAGTATCGACATGACATAAGTTTCTGGCTTGTGCCCTGCATGACCCTAAATCTCAAATACCCCATACCTCTTCAAACCCGGAACCTCATTGATGCCGAGGATCTTAGACCCTGAGCCGCCCTAAACACCCCAGAACGCAGGCTCGCAAGCTGGAGAAGAAGCTTCGCGAGATCGCTGGCCTCGAGCCTCAGCCGATGTTGAACTTAGCTTAGAAGCAGTAACAGAGAGTGTGGGGTTTAGGGTTCGGATCTACAGGGCTCTTTGCTGCTTTTGAAGCGGGTTCGTTTCTTGGACTTTCTTGAAGTAGAGCTCTCACACCTTCGCAGGGAAGCGGAGGTATATTTTTTTAGAAAGAGCAATACATCTAGTCTGAACCCAACGCCTTGAAACCTCATGGTACTCTAGGGTCCTTAAATCGACCCCAAAAAGGGTGAGACTAAAGCCCAGGAGCAGTTGGTAAAGCAGGGGAAGCACCTGGATTCACTTCAGCTGCAAAAGGTGCGCCGCTGAAAGGGGTTGAAGGGTGTAGATTTTTGGGTTTAAGGTTGAGGGCGAAGGGAATGTGATATTTGGGTTTAGGATCACAGGGCTTGCTAAGTAGGTTGTACCCGGTACATACAAAGTACTTGCTTAGTTCTCTGGGCCCTGAATTTGGGTTCTTGCCAAAAGCACCGACGAAGTATAGTGCGCCTGGAGGTTGAATGGAGAGTAATTACGGCTTTTTTTACTCATATCCTTGTGAGGGTGTTAGGTTGTCCGAAGATTCCGCTATGGAGCAACTCCCTATTCCTGACTGTAAATCGTCACTCTCTGAGTCTGTTTGGATGATCGTCAGGTGGATCGGAGGAGTGAGATCGAGTCTCATCAGGTGCTGCGCAAAGTGCGCCTTGGTTACCAGCGGATCGCTCTACCGGCTGCTCCCCAGTAGCTCCCTTGCGCACTTGGGTGGGCGCATCGGAGGGCAATGTACAGTGTACAGCTTACCACCCCAATTTTGCAGAATGCGTCATCATATCCTTAGTAACCGTACAGTGTTGCCTACGATAGTCCGAAGAGTTGGCTCGTGCGCAACTCTGTGAGCTGGCGGCAGCAAAATCACATCCTACCGGTACCACTGACGCTATGCTTTCAGTGCAAAACGCGGAGAAGCAATGTTCAAGATCATGGGGCTTGGTTTAAGGCTACCCGAAGCAAGCTTGTGCGGGGGCCGAGCTCCCGATCGACTCATAATCATAATCATTATCATTGCTATCATTAGTATTTTATAAGTATATACCAGTCATCACTACTGATATATACGTCTTGCATGTATTTACATGTATGTATGTATATATATATATATACAAATTATGATTATTACTACGACTTCTCTTGTTACGATGATTTTTCTTCCCTGAGACTTTGAAGCAGCGAACTCCAGAGCCCCAAGAGCTCTCCGAGCCTCACTTGAAGGATCATGGGACTTAGTAAGTAAGGAGTTAGAGTTCCCTTTAAAGGGTACTATAGGGTTCTATAATAAGGGTTTAGGGTTTAGGGTCTACTTAAAGGATCATGGGACTTAGTCAGTAGGGTTATAAGTAGCCACTTAGAGGACTTATCACCCCAGTTATAACCTACTTACTAAGTCCCATGATCCTCTAAGCAAGCTTCTCAGCCCTTGAGGCGCCCGAAGGGTTCTGCGATCTTTCATCCTAAAGACTTGGATTTTTACTTTCCCAAGCCCGAAATCCCAAACCCTAAACCCTAAACCCCTAAACCCCTAAACCCCCTGACCCCTAAACCCCTAAACACCTAAACCCCTAAACCCCTAAACCCCTAAACACCTAAACGCATAAACCCTAAATCCGAAACCACAAACAGCTGAAAGCCAGAGGCCCTCCTTAGTCGATTGGACGCTTTGGACTGCAGCGAGGACGCACTTCGAGGGCCTGTCATTCTAATGTACTTAGAGGATCATGGGACTTAGTAAGTAGGTTATAATTGGGGTTATAAGTCCCCTAATTATAACCTACTTATAACCTTACTTACTAAGTCCCATGAGCCTTCAAGTAGTGACCTGACTAAGGAAACCCTGGGCCTATGACCAACATAGTAGGATTCATATAAGGAACCCTAAGAAAGGCCCAAGGTTTCTTAATTAGGTTTCTGTATTATTCCCCAAGTGTGGGCGGTGAATGGAGTTCGAGGTCTGCTTGGGGTTGGGGTTCCCTAAACCCTAATCCCTACCATGCTTGCAACTGAAGTGGTGAAACATAGCAAGAAGACCCTAGACATCCTTAAGACGTTTGTTTGTGAAGCTTTCAAAACTCCATGTGCGGTTTAGGGTTTCGCGTTTAGGGTATTGTTTGCTATAAGAGCTTCAAAGGCCTCTTCAGAGCCTTTCAGAGGCCCCACTAAGACCTTTCACAAGCCTTCCAAAATCTTCAAGAACATACACATCCCCACAAAAGCCCGCAAACAACATTAGCCTTAGAAAACGCCCTTATGGCAGCCTATACTAAATTGATAGAATTAGAAGGCCCGAACGAAGTATCCTTATAGAAGCCGATAGAAAGCCCGAAGGAAGTCATCCGAGGTTCGCCCTGTGAGCTCCAAGCCGTCGACCGCTTCGCCAGCACAGCGCAGGCGGAGTTCCTGGCGGCGCCCTCGCTGCACGAATGCCTGGGCTCCACAAGGGGATTGAAGAAAGATCTGCGGTAGGTAAAGGTTTCTTAGGTTTTTTGCAGGGGTGTTATAGGGTTCGTGAGTTTTTTTTCACAAGGTTCGTTTTGCAAGGTCTTAATCGGCTGCGAACGGATCTAGAGCTTGACGGTTTACCGGGGTACCTTTGGTTAGTAGGGAATGGAAGAATGGTAGTACTAGTAGTTGTAATTGTACCCCATTCCTCCATTCCCTACCAACCAAAGGTAAGTAAACCCGAAACCCTAAACCCTAAACCTTCTAAACCCTAAACCCTAAAACCCCCCTTAACTTCCTAAACCCTGAACCTTCTAAACCCTAAAACCCCCCTTAATTTCCTAAACCCTAAACCTTCTAAACCCTAAACCCTAAACCTTCTAAACCCTAAACCCTAAAACCCCCCTTAACTTCCGAGGGCTTGGGAGTCGTCAGTAACAAGCGCTGCCTCGATATGGGAGGTTCCGAAAAGTAGGGGGTACCTCATTTAGGGGTCCTTATACTGTAATAAGGATCCTACTATTTAGGGTACTGTATTGGGGTCCCCTATTCTCGGAAACCCCCATCCATCTTATGAAGGCTTAATATTCAGACTTCGTGGCTCTGGTATGAGTTGAACCGCTCGGATCTCGACGCTGTGTGGATTTTAGGCTTCAGGGTTTTGTAGACGTAGGTTAAGGCTTCGGGTTCGCCCCGACGAGGGCCAATATTCCTCCGCTTGTCGCAGCTTTCGGCCTGGGCATCACAAGGCTCTCATGGCTTGGGGGGAAATTGGGACCCAAACTCAGGCGTTGCTGCTTATGAAGGAGATAAGAACCCCTCCAAACCCTAAACAATGGAAAGAGATGGATTAGAAAGGGATCGTTGTCTACGCAAGGAGGGCATGGCCGCACTTCGAACATGTGTTAGCCGCAATCCACTGGGACTCATGTGCCACACACAGTGAGACGTATTACGGTTGATGATATATGGAATGCTCCTTATTGTGGATAATGCAGGGTTGATATCATCAATAGTAGGTTCGTCCCGACATGAGTTTACCCTGGAAACTTTCACATCGACGCAACCTAGGATTTGGGCCTTAGGGTTTGGGCCTTGGGGATAAGATAGACTGTATATTTCTTAATGGTTTGCGATTCTCTGGGTGGGCGGGCATTCTTCGAAGTCGAACTTACGAGCTCGACTAGAAACTGCTCGATCTGGAGCTGCTGAACCACCCTAAACCCTAAACCCTACACCCCTAAACCCGAAACCCCTAAACCCAAAACCCCCTAAACCCTAAACTCGAAACCCCTCAACCCTAACCCCTAAGCACCTAAACCCTAAACCCCTAAGCCCTAACCCTAAGCCCCTAAACCCTAAGTCCTTCTTCCTTCCTCCGCGGTTGGGCTGTAGCTCGAGGCGCTGGCAGCGCTGCGCTGCGCTGATGCCTCGGTGGAGGCAGTTTTTTTTTTGTTTTGAGGGTTTTGTTTTTTGGCGTCTAGGGTTTCTATTGTTTAGGGTTTAGGGGTTCAGGTTTTGTAGGGGGTTTTGGGGAGTTTAGGGTTTGGGGTTTTCTAAGGTCTAGGGCTCAGGGTTTCTAAGGTTGAGGGTTTAGGGACTCAGGGGTTTAGGGTTTAGGGTTTAGGGTTTCTAAGGTTTAGGAGGGTTGAGGGTGAGGGTTGTTCGGGTTTAGGCGTTTCGGGAATTTCAGAGCATCCTCTCGGCTTTGTTTGTGAGATCACAAGGCCTTTGAAGGATTTTGTTTTGTTTAGGGTTTTATAAGGTTTTACAGTAGGGTCGCTGTTGTAATCCAAGCCCGAAGCGCTAAAACCCGTGAACACCTAAACCTGTAAGCTTAAACCCTAAGCCTTCAACCTGAAAGCCCCTGAACCCCTAGACCCCTGACCCCGAAACCCCTAAAATCCTTAACCCTTAAACCAGGAAGTGGAGACTCTGAGAAGCTTCTGCATGATCTTCTTAGATGTGGGTACGCAGCCCTAGAGGTGTACGGTTGGGGGCCTTTGTTCTACACAGCCGGTTTAGGGTTTACGGTTTACGGATTAGGGTTTAGGGTTTAGGGTTAAGCTTGAGATTTAGGGTTGCGGCTCTCTGCACAGGTAGCTGGACACAGCATTCTCCTGAAACTGCACATGCCTGGCACGCCTTCAAGCCTAAACCCTTACCAACACCCCTCGCGGCAGCCATGCCTTATTTGAAGGATGTTGGAGTCTGTAAAAACCCTATACAGTAGATCCCTTAGAGGAACATTTACAGACTGTAATGCATGCTAAACATTGAACCTTAAACCTTAAACCCTAAACTTTAAACGCTAAACCTCAAACCCGGAACCCTAAACCCTAGCCAAGCGCCTGCTACTGAGAGGCTCCATCCGCCCTTGAGCCAAAGTTGCTCAAGGCTGTTCCCCGGATGTTGTTGAGAGCCTCATCTCTTGCGTTCGTATTGGAGTTCAGGACTTAGGGTTCAAGGGTTCAGGGTTTTAGTTGTTTTTTTGGGCGGTTTTAGGGGTTCGGGGTTTTGGGGTTCATAAACAATGAGAGGCTGCAGTTCAGGGCCTGCGTCTTTCCATGCAGCTTCCGCTGCTCAAACTGGACCAAGCCTAGAACTCTGAGTCTGCTCCCATGCCTTACTCCATTCACACCCAGAGAGCCCGATACCCGGTTAGGAAAGGAGTATAGCTTCAATCATAGTATATGGCCCCTTATACTTTAAGGCATATTCCTTCATTCAGGGGTATTGGGCTCTCTGGGCACTCATACAACCTGGAGCCGGAAAGCCCTAAACCCAAACCAGTTGTAACACACTTGAACCTTAACCCGAAACCCCTATTACAGAACCCTATAGTGCCCTTAACAGGAACCCTAAACCCTACTTATTAAGTCCCATGATCATAACCCAGAGGCTAACGCTAAGTTTTGCCGTTTCCAGCCTCCACGTCCTTCCAAGGCAAACGTCTTAGAGGAGGCGCTTTGGAAAGGCTGGGCAGGGGCAGGGGCTTCGTTGAGGGTTTCAGGGTATCATTGTAGGGATTGCAGGGTTCAGGGTTTAGGATTCAGGGTGTCTGGGGTGTTCAGGGTATGCGTAGGGAGAGATGTGTGCTTGCATGTCAATCTCTCGGTCTATACTTGCCAGTCCATACTGATACACAAGGGGACATGCAGGCAGGGCAAGCAAAACAAGTGTGCAGTTGCAAAAGATACGAGCCCGTGAATGCACAAACGACTGCACACAAAACTACGCAAGAAACAACAA